AAATGCAATATTATATTTCATTCTGAAATTCCTCATCTGAATATACACCGTCCTGAAGTTTCCATCTCAGTATATTAAAAAGTGTTTGAAGTTTACCAAGTAAGTTTACCAATACCTTTCAAACTTAACAGTGTTTGTTTATTTGGATTAGGAATTTAATGGTATCATTAAATATCCATTCTGAGGATACACAGTGACATTTCTCAGTGTTATGTATTTGAAAGATTTTTTTTTTTAAATGAAACTGGAGCTCAGATGAGAACACTACCCATTACCATTACCATGGAAGATCTATGAAAATTTTGTATTTCCAAGGGAGGAAGAAAATTATAGCAGTGATACAGCAATTATAACAGCAATGATAATGTCTTCTTAGACACCCAAAAAAATCATTAAAGACACAAAAGCAAAACAAGCAAAGAAAACACACACACAATTGCAGCCATTTTGAAGTGTACTGTGAGTTATACACCTCAGAGATATCCAAAGGATTCAGAATGTTAGAAATAGTTTCATTTTGCTTGTACTCTGAAATAGTTTTTAAGCCAGCATACTTACCTTCTTGACATTTTACAGATTAGCCCACTTTTAATTTTTCTCTAGATTACCTCCCATGTTATTTTTCCCCACAAAACCTGAATTTTTTTATAATGGTGCTTGGGATTAAACTCAGGGCCTCCTGCATGGACAGTGCTCTATGACTGAGCCTCAACACACTCAGTGCTCCTCTTGAGATTTCAAAGCCAAATCATGAATATCAAAGTGGAATACTGAAAGTACAAATGGTTGTTAGAATCAACTAAATTTCCATTCAGATCTTAACTATGATATTTTACTAGTCTGGTAATGTGACTTCGAGCAAGTTGTTACTTAAGCAAGAAACTAGCAAGCCACATGTGGACAGAAATTTATTGTTATTGGTTTACACTAGTCTCATACTGAGAAGTGTGGTTGGTATAAAATAAGTCCTCAAAAAGTGGCTGTGGGATGGATAATCCTTAATTTCCATGCCTGTAAAATTAGATGATTTTAATGGAATTTAAAATGATAACCACTGTTTTGGTCTTGACATGTTAATATAGCCTAAATTTGATGACACTTTGTCCTTCAAAAATTTGGTCATCTTCACAAATCTTACTGAAATGTCTTCACTCCAATGTAGTCTAATTGTGTAAAAGATACTCATTGTCAATTATTCTCCAATCTGATGAGTATTAATTTTTCTGTGCGGATAATACTGGACATGTTGGTGTCTTGATTGTGTCCCTTTTACTTTCTATTGTAAGTGTCAATCTGGGTTTGTTTCTTTTACAATGGGGATTATTTATCTATACTATCTATTGCAGTGTTTCAAAAAGTCGCTCTGAGTCCAGAAAACGTCTTTGCTTGCCACATATGAAATGTATGAGGAGGTTCACATGTGTTTATTGTAGTGAGCAAAGGTACACACTGTTAACCCCATGCTCAGCAATTTTCACAAAGATACACTTCTAAAAATGGTTGGCAACACGTGTAAGCTAAATATGTATTTTAAGTTTCATTTAAAGTAATGGAAAATGAAATGGATTAAACATAACACTTTAAGGACATAATCAATTACAGGATAATTGGAAGGAAAATAAACACTGGAAAAAATAATGGTTTAAACAATGACAGGGTAAATATGACCAATTCAGTGTTTCCAAATAACTTTAGGGGACACACAGCTGCCCATCACTCATTTTTACCAGCTCATGGTGAATTAGAACACATTGTTGTTCAATAATGCTTACTGATTTCTTCATTATGGAACATGGCATTGAACCTGCCATTTAAGGTGAAACTGTGTAAAATCAGAAAAATAAGGCATGCTATGTTGTTGCAATTAGAATGATTGTGATCTTGTCTTTAAACCAATAAAAAAGGTCTTGAAAATCCCTCTTTAATTAATTTTAAAGCCTAAGTTCTGTTAACATGTGGCTATGGAATGAGCTCATAATCTTACGTTGAAGTGTAAACAGTTTTGTGGATGAAAACATACACAATGAATGAGAGTGTAATGGAAAGAGATAAATTGAGGTTAAATCCAGTTTAATTTTTAAATGTGATTAATAACAATTTTTTCACATTTATTTATTTATTCCATTTATACATCCTACTTGGTGACTCCCCTCTCTATCTCTCTTGCTCATTTTGTAAGTTAGCTCTTTGCTTTCCTATCTATATGTTTTAGACACTTTACTGCTGAAATTGGTCTACTGCCACTTCCTTTTCATTCACTTAGTGTCATTATTTTATGCTCTATTGACCTTTCACTTCAAGAACAGTTAATATGAACATTAGGTTCCAATAACAACTGTCAGAAATCTTGGCCTAATCCAGTAGTGTAAGGATTTTTCCTTTGTTGTAGAACATTAGTAGCTTTGCATTTAGCTTTAAATTCCATTTAAGTTAGTTTTTGTTTGGTATGCCATCTTATGAGGACTAAACTTTGTTTGCACATATAGTAACCAATAATTTAATTAATATTTGTTGGAAAGATTATATTTCTCCACTGAAATGAATTTAAGCCTTTGTTGCATTTGTCATTTTGTTCAATATTTGATTGTAATCCATTCATTCTTTCAACATAGCATTCTTATGGATTACTGTTGTCTGAGAGAAAAACTTCAGATCAAATCAAATTCTATGTATTCTCCGTTATCTTAAATCTCTGTGTGTCTGTCTGTCTGTCTGTCCGTGACCCCCCCCCACCGTGTGTGTGTCTTTGTGTGTGTGTGTTGTGTTTGTGTTGTGCAGTGGCATTCGTGCCTTGAACAAAGTTCATACCATAAGATCTGCACTCATTTTTATTTTGTTGTGCTTCTACCCACTCTCTCCACAGAATTTAAATATATAATTCAGGCCAATATATAATGTAGGCCAATGTGGTCTTGAATTGATGGTTCAATAGCCACCTAATGATGGAATTAGAGGTATATACCATCATGCACCTCTTCTCCAGTTTTCCTTGTATTGAGTATGGTAGGTACCTTAAAATCACTATTTTGTTGAATATTTTCTTTATAAAGTCGCTGTTATAATAAAATGCATAGATTCACACCTGGCAATTTTTACTGTTAATTGTATCTTTTATCATTGAACATCATTTCCCTCTCTCTTTTCATTTGCATTTGATTTTGTCAGCTACCAAGAACACAATGTTTACTTTAATCACTGCTTTGTTTGTATGCTTTTTTCCACATCCTTTTGCCCTAGCCATTATAAACCACTGCTTCTCATGGTACTATTTAAAAACTTGTTAAAAAGGAAAAATAAATTATGTTTCCAGTTATCAGGTTGCTATTTCAAAGTATTTTGGTATGTTAACATATTTAATTACATTTTAAGTGTTTTATTTTAGGTTTCTTAGGTTTGATTTTATTAGTGTACATTCATTATACAAAAAAAGCATTCAGTAGGGAACTCACAGTAGAAACTATACCTTTGAAATTGCTGTTTAACTTCATTTCTGTGACTTCTTCTTCATTACGAGGTAAAAGGCAAAATAACCAGTGAGAGATGAAATCCTGGTGCTTTGAGGTAAACGCATCATTGAAACTTAGTGAAGATAGCAAAATTGTATTTATTTCCTCAGAATAGCTTATAGAATATCTCATATGATTAGGTACTGCCACTGTAGATTTGGGAGCAGCTAATTAATTTTTAAGTGTCATGAGATTGTTCTTCTTTTATGCTTTTAATACTATTTTACTAATATTTTCTCTGTCTAATTCCATTATACATTTCAGAGAACTAGCTGGAGCTCTTTCTTTTACTCTTCAGGTTGATGAATATATTAATAATTAATGTTAAACTGGACTCTCCAAATGTTAAACAAATTTATAGTAAAGATACTTGTAGAAATTCAAATAAAGATGTGTATGCCTGTCATCACAGCTACTTGGGAGCCTGAGGCAGAAAGAGCACATGAGTTTTAATTGATTAACTTATACTTATTTATTAATGTCTCTAAAAGTTTAATGTTTTTCTTTTAATTTTTGTCTGTGTGTGCATGAGTGTTTTACCTTTGTGTATGTCTATGTACCACATGCATGCTGTAATGCCAACAGAAGCCAGAAGAGGGCATCAGATCCAATGAGACTATAGTCACAAATAGATGTGAGCTGTCATGTCCACGTCAGCAAAAGAACCCAGGTCCTCCGAAAGCACATCCAGTGTTCCTTACCAGAATTTTATGTGATTTTGATTTTTTTAAATCATAAGTATTAGCCAAAGCCAAAACCTATATTAAAATGAACAAAGTAAAGAGTAGCAGAAAAATCAAATAAAAAATTGAAGCCTCTCTAAAATCATTATTGAAGCTGACTTTTATGCCTTGCATTTACATGCCCAGAAATTAATTTTTATACCTTGTATTCTTATAAAAAATGAATTAAAGATTATGAAGAAGAAAAACAACTGTTTTTGAGTGCCCATTTTATACCAACTACTTTGTCAACATAAAAATTTATTTATGCTGGGGATATGGCAACAACTGAAGGTCTTGTGTAGACTATGTGAGACTCTGGGTTCAATTCTCAGTGTTTCAAAAGCATTTCTTAAAATATACTTTCAAAAATAATGATGGCCTTTATAATTAAAAAAAATACAAGATTGGTTTTTTATGTATTAGATAATTTTGGTACATATCCTGTCAAAATAAAGGTGGGGTGACATTTTGTAATTATCCCATATTGTACAGTCATTCAATATTTGTAAATGACATTGAGGAATAAAGTACTTTGGAATAGACTTGATATATTATGAAACGACTGTTTTAAATTCTGAAAACTATGCTACAGTTTTCCTTTATAAACCTCAACAAATCCAATCAATTTCTTCTTATTTATATTTTGCTTTCAAATTTTGTTTGCCAAGTTCTATAGATCAACTAATTAACTGCATGAATGAATAATGTGAAGCTTAGCACAAACATATGTAACAATATTAGTCTGAGAAATGAATATAATTGTACTCACCATAAAGAATTGCAAGCAGAGACAGGGGCATGACAAGTAGTCCCACCAGCATATCAGCAATGGCTAGGGACATTAAGAAGTAATTGGTTGCATTGTGCAGTTTTTTCTCCATGCTTACTGCCATGATAACGAGAATGTTGCCCCCTATTGTCATGATTATAATCACGACGATTGAAAGTGCTGGCCAGTTTTGTACCCCGTCTGGGAATTGAAACAAGCGTCCACCATCGGAGGAATTAAAAATGTCAGTTACTATAGCTGCTACTGGACTTATGGAAATATCAAATTGCCAAACCATTAGGCCGATGAGGTGCACACTGAAAATTAAAAAGAAAAAAAAAGATCATCAGGCTTTGTTTGCACACAATATTTACTTATAACATAAATAGCCTCCCCCCACTACTACCTTGACCATGACTACCTTTATCCTCATCATTTTGGTTTCTATCATTTAACTTGTACTGTGTGATTGCTATGAATTAGGCACTTAGTTTAACAAAATACATATGTAAGATCACATTTGATTACCTAAAAACCCACATGATTTCAGTACTGATTTATAACCATAACATAGATGAAAAAATAATGAAGTTTTAAAAAGGCTCGATTATGACACGTTCTCAAGCCAATAGTATAGCCAAGGTAGTGACAGGACCAGGGTCCATCATGAGGTCTGATATTACACTATTTTGAAAGTTCACTTTTCCTCTGCTCTCCTGTCCCCTGTCCACTTAGGCCCCATTATTCTCTAGACAATTTTGCTTCCATTTTCATGTCATCTGTTCGTGTGTGAATCGATGAAGATGAAGCTCTACAACTGAGAAAATATGTTGTTTCTGTTTCAGAGGCTGGCTCGATGTTTTATTCTTGGTATTTGTAAAATATTAATTCTTTGAGCTCTCCTTTAAGAAAGCTGTGAGAGAAATAAAGGGAGACTTCCTTAAAGGATCCCATGACCAGACTAGAAAATTGGAAGTTGATTTGTTGATATAAATTTAAAAGACAGTGTGTGATACAATCAGGACAATTTTATGAATGTGTTTTGAAGTATGCTATAACAATAACACACATTCATTCCTTTTTAGAAGTATGTCCAAGCTCTCATATTTGCCAAGTGAGTTTCTTGCTAGCTGTCAGTTTCTTATTCTGTGCTTTAAATTTTCATGCTTCCTATTACCTGCCTCGTTTGTGTCCTTGATTTCCTAACACTTGCTGTGAGTTTAAGAGTAATGGGTACAGCTGATTGATTCTCATGGGCAGAGTTAGGAATTAAATTTTATACACATTGTTTATATTGGTCCTTGGACAGAGCCTGCTAGTAGGAATTTCAGGCTACGTGTCAATCTAAAACAGGGGAGATATGGATATTCCACTGTTGTACATTTCAAATTTCTTTCCCTCATAGTGATGAGATTTATTTAAGTTACAAACACAAATGTTATCTCAAGATTTGAGCTCCTAAATTGTGTCCAACCAAACCAACATACTCATCTCTCCTGATAAAAATTATAAGACAAACAATCATGTTCAAAACTCCCTGTTCTGAAAACAGCATTTGCGAATGGCTGTTTTCTGGATGAGACCTACATATCTGTCTGTCTATCTATGTATCTATCTAGCTATCTAAATATCTATCTCCCTCTCTACCTATCTATTTAATATTTTTCATTTATTGGAAATGAGCAAAGGGATCCAGGACTTCTCAGCTGTACCGCTCACATTCTACTCCTTAAATAATAGGTTTGGGTTAGGTGGGATTTACAGTGGTTTCCTTCTTGTACCTGGTTTTTTTTTTTACATAGTCCTTTACATTGCATTCTATTGAATTCAGCTATTGGTTCATTCCAGGATCACAGTGCTTTGTCCAGCTACATCCTCAATCCCTGCCTTCTGATCTCTAGCACCCTCACTATTCTTTCCAAAATCAGATGCTTGTAATAACACCCTCTCTCCTCCTCCTTTTTTCTCTAGTTCACCAATGTCTGTCCTAAGCTTACATTAGTCTTGTAACCATCCTGTCTCAATCACCTTGGTGTCCGCATTATAGGTATGCAGTGCCATAATAAGCAGCCGCTTGATTATTCAGTTCATAAAGGAATAAAAACCTCTAAGCTACACCCATGGTAAAATGGCAACCATAAAAATGTAATTATTTAAACTGAGGCTATTATCCCCATATCATGAGCTTTAATATTTAATTAGGTGCCTGATCATACATATTCCTCATTTATTACCTTTAAATAGGAAAAACTAATCTTGTTTTTAAAATACAGATCATAGAGTTGCCTGGCCATATGCAATAATTTTTATATCATAGAGTAAGCATGTGTAAAAGTAACTTGGCTATTATTGAAAGAAGCCGTAAAATCCTTACAGGAACGAGTGCATCCCATTGCTCAGGTTCACCATGATTGCTTCAGTCTTTTAAGCAACCACAGGATTCAAATTGAGAATTAGGAAATTAACAGACTGGTTTCATTCCCTGAGGAGAGAAAAAAAGAAAAGAAACAAAACATTAGTTAAAATTTCACATAATTTGCATATCAAACAATTACATAAACTCAAATGCACTTGTTTAATGGTAAGAAGGTCAATACTCCATTTAACAAAGGGGTAAGCATGTTGCATGGAAGCAGTAAAGAACGGCTAAGAACAAATTTGTTTGCTTATTTACAGGTTCAAAACTATCAATTCTTGTCACATTTCTCATCTAGGGTCTAGTGATGTGTGCCTTACTGCAGATTTCCCTGTTAGGGTATACAGAATTTCAAATCAGTGTTTTGAGAAAGGAATTATGAATAGATACTTGAGATTTGCAAATCATTGGGAAAACATATATAATTTCTAAAATTATGTTAAAATGAAAAACTATAACAAACTTCAAGAATTTGAATAACATAAATATATTTTTCACATTTTCAATTTCCTTTTTTTCCAAATGAAGCAATCTGCATTTATATAGAGAATTTTATTTATATATACTGTTGCATTAACCAACAACATTCACCAGAGGGCAGCAATAACTGGTTTATTTTCAAATATATCTGTCACATTTACCATATTAAGCACAGCAATCACTCTGTGTAATAAATATTTAATAGCTAATTTATGAAATTTTACATTGAAAACTAAATGTCAGTTGTATTACATGATCAAAAGAACAGTCTTAGCTTCTTTTGTCAATGAAGAGGTGACACATTATCTACAAGTAATTTATAAAGTAATTTCAGACTGGATGCTTTTGGTTTCTGTAAGATGTCTTTCAAAGGGTTGTTCGTGATGTCATAAAATATTTATGTATTGGACTACACACTACTTATTACTAGGAATGTTTACATGTTGGTTGAGAACTAAATTGTACAACAATGCATCTTTGCTGGGTGGAGTCTGTCACTGTCCATTTTTACTTCAAACATTAAGGAAGTGGTTTGAGTGCTAGTGACTAACATGGTAATCTTTTGTAGTTTCTCCATAGAGATTCATAACTAAGAACAGAGATGTCAAACCAATCTGTTCTCTAGTCTGCCTTGTCTGCATTTTTGAGTTTGGATTTGACTACACTTTCTTGCCACACCAAACACATAACTAGTAACTATATTCTTCGTAAGTTTATAAAGAGATTTCAAGAGTCAAGGTTGTTAAGTTTGGAGAGTTGCAAGTATCATTTTGGTAATAAAAAGACGTGTGTGTGTGTGTGTGTGTGTGTGTGTGTGTGTGTTTAAATGTGTGTAATAGAGAGGGACATTAGTTTGAGAACACGGCAAAACACTGTAAGATCCATTTTATGTACTTTATAAATAGCTGTAAGGAATATGAAAGTAAAAATCTGTCTTGATACTCTTTCTTTAGTGTTCAAAACGTGGAATAAAAATTTCACTGAAATAATGTGCATTTCTCCATTTCTCATCTCATTTAACATAACTTTTTCCTAGTCATTCAAATTATCAATTTAATGTGTTCTGCCTTTATTCAGCAGCATCGACCTTTTAAGTCTAACAAAACCATTTTGTTACTCTAATGAATATGTGAAATATAATTTCCTAGTCAGTACAGACTCAAAATATTTTGTGAGAAATGGATATCAACATAACATTAGGACATTTTTTCTGGTAAGATCCATCAGACAACCCATAAATCCCCTTTCTTTTTGAGGTCTGGAAATAGGTCATGAAAATTGCTAAAGAATACCAATAAATATCAATGTCCTTTAGCTTTTCAATTTTATCTCTCTAAAACATCAAAATATTTTTAGTAATGCCAAAAGTTTTAAATCCTTTATTATCACTTATCTATCAAGTATTGAAAAATTAGTGTAAGTGTCTAAAATGCATTCTGTTTCAATAAGATAAAATTAGAACAATATAAATTTACTTGCTATAGCTGCATGTGGTCATGATCTATTGAAACATTTTTATATACATTCTTAGCTATGGTAGAATTCAATTATTGTTTCACAAAAATACTATATTTTCTTAAAACTTAGCCAACTTTGTATTATTTTCCTTGGAAGTACAGATAAGATATTAAATAACAAGTACTTATTTTCTGACATTTTAATTTCATTAATAAAATAATAATCATAAATATCTATCATATATGTAGATCTCCAATTTATTAACTGAAATTACTTGAAGTACAGGTCATGTCTTTCCATGCATGTAAAATTTGTTTTATTTATTTCATTTTATTTATCTCTGATTTTTTTCAGTGCCAAGGATACAATATCCTTCCCCTATCACTGAACTAAAACAACCATTAAAAATTTCCATTCATAAAATTTACTAAACCAAATAGAATATGCTCTTGATGTGTTTATAGAGGTCCAGGAACATAATATAGAAGAATAATTTACCTGTATTATATGACCTAAATTCTGCTTCATGTTAAAATATAATAATATTTTTGAAATAAATGTTCTGTATATTTAAAATAGTGTTTGTAGAATTGCAAAGAAGAGAGAGGATGTGAAATTGTTCAAGCCTCAAATAACTAAATAAAAAGATAAACAAAGAAACAAATATCACACACACACACACACACGCACACACACACACACACACACACACACACACACTTTCTGACCTCCACCTCTTATATTCTACTTATGTTTCAAATGGAAACTTAGTGGCTCTGTAAGCACAAACAGACCTGATGGGGGAATGTCTTTCTGTATATGTGTTTCTCTTATTGGTTGATGAATACAACACTAATCGGTCAGTAGCTAGGCAACAAGTATAGGCAGGGCTACAAGATGAGAATTCTGGCTAGAAGATGTGGTGAGGAGCCGCAAGGAAATGCCACGTAGCTATGGGGAAGATAGGATGTGGCAGGCATTCTCTGGTAAGTTAAAGCCACATAGAAATATACAGATTAATAGTTATAGGTTAATAATTAAGAGAGAGCTAGCCAGTAAGAAGCCTGAGCCATGGGCCAAACAGCTTCTAATTAATATAAAGCCTCTGTGTGCTTATTTGGGGTTAAGCAGCAGTGTGACCAGATGCAACAGAAACTTCTGCTACACAAAACATTTGGGACTTCAAACATTTAAACTTGGAAAAAATTGTGTTTTGTGAAATTTTATAAACTCTATTTTAAGATAATTAATGAAATGGTACCTTCTAAGTAGAATGTGTAGGACTACCATAGAAACTGGGCATTTAAGTACAAATGTTTGAGGGCAAGAAAAAACAAATAACATAAAACTAACTGATTTCCTCAAATATGGAATAATAATAAGAGGCTAAATCACAGATGTGAAATAACTATCATTATCTATTCATATCAATTTCTTATTTCATCATGAAACATGAATCACAGGCATTTTCATGCTGTCTCTAAAGCATCAGACTATCTTTTAGTATTATTAACAGATTTTCTATGGCAAAGTCAGGGACAAACATTAATTTCCATGTTGTTTTCAATAGTATGATTTTATAGCTGATATTAAGTAAGTAGCATCTTAAACATAAGCACAAATACTGAACATTAAACTTAATTTTGTTTATTAAACATATGCTTCTATGTTAATAAGTTATAGTTGTTCATTATCATAGGTCATAAAAATCTGTGAATACTTGAAAATAACTAAAGCTTGCTGTTACATACTCAGAAACAAATTTTGAATGGTCAAAATCCATTCTCCAAATTACCTAAAGCCATAACCAGTAATTATCTTGAAAAATAATTAGATAACAAAGTTAAAACATTTTGGGGGATACTGGCTGGCATTTTCGTGTGTGTCTTTCCATTTTACCTAATTAGCAACTACAGTATATAAAAACAGTTGATTAAAAGGAGGGGTAAGTAGGGATTGGAAAAGTTGAAGATGCAAAATTATAAAGAATAAAATCTCACCTAAAGGTAGAAGATGGAGTTGTTATTTTATACACATTATGTTTGGAGAATAAAGAACTTTAAAACCTTGTGGTTAAACTTGGTTTTCTTTTCGTCCTACCTCCTCTGAAACTACCCCTTCCAGATTGATTTTTAACTTTAGACTTATGGAAAATCTGTCAGGTAACCATGGTGATATAGCTCATTATTTTTAACCCTATTGAAGAGAATAAATCTGACATGGAATTTTTATGGTATAGGATTCACAATTAACAGATTATTCTTGTGTGACATTTTAAAATTCCATTTATTTTGGTGTGTGTGTGTGTGTGTGTGTGTGTTTGTGTGATGCCATAGAAGGGGTGTAGAGAACAGGGGGAAATTAGCAGAAGTCACTTCTCTCCTTGTACACATGGGAATTGAGACTGAGCTCGGGTCACTGTGCTTGGTTGTCTGTACCTTTACTGACTAAGCTATTTTACCCAACACTGTCTGACTGTGTATGATAAATTACTTCAGAACTAACTATGTAACATTGCATCTGAAGGTTTGATTTCGTCAGTTTTCAATGTTCAAGAACTAAAGACTCACAATTTAAAAAGTTTTCCCTCTGGAACATCATAGAAAAGGGGAATAAAGATCAGAAAGTCGAGGGAAGATGGGGTGATGTGAAATGCTCTTCTGAATATGACATGGCCAGTGCAAGCAGGAGACCAGTCACAACATATTCAGGAATATAAAGACTTGTCCCCAGAATATAATCCAAAAGAAGAGGGTCTAGCCGGAAAGACGAAGTGAATGAGTGGGCAGAGATAGAAGATGGTGATAGTGGTGGATAGTATCATATTAGACTGTACATACATTGAAAACTGGTAAGACTTAAATAAAATGTCAATGAAGTCTTCTCTCTGACTATTATATGTTGTCAACTTTCAGAAGGTGGTGATTTCAAAAGTGAATTAGTCACAAATATTCAGAATGCTCCTGAGAACAAAGTAATCATGTAGAGATTTCTAACAGTCTGGGGACTACTCATGTAATCCAAAAATTATCCTTAGGCCTAAGGAATATTGCATGAATGTTCCTTTCAATTTTAAATGATCTATAGGGATTTTGTAATAA